AGGACATTCCCCAGGAAAACTTTGCAACACTTCATCAGTTCTCTCCCGGCAAGAATGTCTTCTGGAGGAGCTCTCTCCAGAGGGCAGCAGCCTCCAAAGTGGGACACCACCTCCCTGCTATGGTGACAGGCTCCCTGGGAACTCTGGGCTGGTGGTGTCCATCCTCCTGTGCCACAGCCTCTGGCTCTTGTGGAACTGTCTCCTTCCCCATCCAGTGTCCTCCTCGTCAGCATTCTGGGGTTTTGTATAGGATTTTGCCATTCCCAGGACTTGATAATAATGGCTCCCAGGTGGGAAGTAAACTCCTGCTGTTGTATTTTCTTGCTGCCTACAAGACAATATGATGTAAGGAGTCTGAGATGGAGCATCTTTTTATCACAGCATTGTTAGGTACATGTTGCAAAGTGCTTTGCTAAAGTTAAGTGTTGTAACCCCATCTTGATGATTAGGAAACAGAGAGGAGGGAGCCAAGTGGTTTTACTATGGCAGCAAGTCAGCAGAAAAGCTGTGAATCACATCACTGTCTCTGTCCTCATCCTCTGATGACTGCTTTCCCTTCCCCCAAATATTTGTATAACTGTGCTTACCACATGCTCAGCTTGAGGAGACTGATTTCCTGCTTGATGGTGTGTAAAAAAACCCTACCATATATCAGTTTGTAGAGAACCTGGCTATGTCATAGCTTGCTGTGGTTGCAGGGTGTCTGATATGGTCCCCTAGCCCAGAGGTGCATGCTTTGAGGACCAGAGGCTGTTGCACAGAGGTATCCTGAGACAATTCATGCCCCTGCAAGTGAGTGGCGACATTTTCCTCAGCCTGGGAATTAGTGCAAAGGGACTGTGATACTGGAGGGATGGTCGAAGTGTCTAGTAGGTATGTGGACATTCTGTGGACTCTGAGCATCTTTGCCAGTCTCTCTGCCATAACAGGCATGTAACATCCATCCCCTATGTCTGGTCAGGCTCTGGTGTGAGTTATCACCCACTGAACCTCCCAGAGTTCGTCCAGCAGATATGTCAGGATGCCCTCAGAGAGCTGATGTCTCCTGTCCTGGTGCTGCCTGCAGGGCCCCTGCCCAAGCACCACTGCAGGGTTCAGCACCTACACATGTTCTTCACACAGGTTGCATGACTTCACAGGGGCTGGGAGACCAGGCTGGATTAAACTAAGAGGGTTGTAACCATGACTTGTTGCCAGTGTGAACTGAAAGCTTTAATAGTGTGTGTAGGGCCAATAACAGTACATCAGGGTATGATATCCTCTTTACTGGCGCTCTCCAGGGAACCAGGAGACGTTGTGGCAACAGGATTATGGTTTGCAGATGATATGCATGATATCTTCACCTAGACACGTGCACCTGTTTCCCTCACTAAGCAGATGTTCGGGAGGCTGTTAAGAAAACATCAGCCTCTTGACAGCACAGCAGAAAAGGCCATGTAACTGTGCCTGTTCACACTGCTGCACCCACCACCTCCGCTGCTTGACAGAGACCTGCAGCAGCCCTGCCCTGCCTCACTGAAACCCCAGCCTCTGGGGCAGACTGGATCAACTCAGCATTTGAAGGGCAAGCCCTTTCCTGGCTCTCTGCCCAGGCAAATCCTCAAGCCAGGAAGGGGAGTTTCCCCCCTGTCAGGAGGATGAGGTTTGGCTGGCTCAGTGCCTGGGATGTCAGTCTTCCTGCAATCTCAGTCATGCAGCAGCACCTACAATCATTTCCATGTCATGGCAGCATCTTTAAATATGAACTGGCAAGCTGCACGGGGCATAGACAGACTCACTTTGTGCTGGCATAGATTGGCCACCTGAATTGGAAGAGATGGACTCCCTGGCATTGTATTGCACCATTCCCATAACCCTGGACCACTAACTAGGATTATTTTTTTCTCCCTTTTAAATCATTTTTTTCCCAATGCAAAATAAGCCATTTGGATTAGTTTGCATATCTATGAATGGTGGCTGATGGTCATTCCTGTGAGAGAGCAGAAGTGCAAGTTGGCCCACAAACCAGACTGCAGGCAGAAGATCTCTACCCTGCATGAGCAAGCAAACCAACCCAAAGGTGAAGCTGCCCCAAGGTAACCTGTGTACCACAGTGCTTTCCACTTAGTAGTTTTCAACCTGTGGTCTGTAAAACCTGTGAATTATTCCTGTAAGATCTGCAAAAGGTAATGAAGAAGAGGTGGGTGTGCATATCCTATGCACAGGGAAGCATTTGGCATTCACAGATCAGAGAAGATTGAGAGTCAGATTTGGCAAATCAGAAGAGATTAGTTCCTCTCTAATTCTGTGGGAGGGAGACAAAACCTGCACTTGCATCTTCCATGGTGTGCCTCCGTTAGGAACATAAGTCATGTTAGACAGAAAGTGCATTGGCAGGGGTGTCATTACATACTCTCCTGATGCCTCTAATCTAAAGGAAACTTCATGAGCAGTGTTATGAAACTCTGCAAGTGTGTGCAGTCTAGCAAAGGGAAGACCTGTAATTCCCTGTCAGGACTTGTTGCTCCAACTGGTAGCGCCAGTAGAAGTGATCATCTCATCAGAATTTGGGAGACTTAGCGCATGTATGGGCAAATTCCTGACTGCTGGCTGCAGTGGCTGTCATGGGTGGCTTAGAAGGCTAGGGTGTGTGGTGGAACTCAAAATCTCATTTTTGCCAGTTAATAAGATTTCTTCCCCATCACCCTCATCCCCACAAGAAAAGACCTCTTCCCAAGGGTCAAATGAAAGCAGAAAGAGCTGTACAGAGGCCACCCAAGAACCCTTGGATGACCTCAGAAATCTGTGCTGTTTGTACACAGTGATAATTGCTGTGATTATGGTTTGGGAACAAGCCCTCACTGCTTCACTGAAACACATCTGTCACATACAAGGTGCAAGTCTGTTGCCCCATACACCAGGCTTAAAATTATTCCATGCCCATCCTCATTTTCCTCTCCTGGCGGTGCCAGGATGTGGGAAGAGCACTGAGAGAGGTGCTTGCATCTCAGCAGCTCCGGTCTGTGTGTACCCTGGCTTTGTCTGTGTGTGTGTGTATTAAGCAACCCACCACACACAGTGTGTGTATATGCTGCATTTTAATAGATATAGGGCTACTGACTTAACATACACAGTCGCTATAGTAACAGAGGTTTCCTTAGAAACGGTTGCAGAAAATAATCCAGTACCAATTAAAAATAAACTGTTTGGAAAGGGGGCTGGGGGAGAAAGGAAACTGCTGAGAATCACCTTCCCCTTTATTGGTTCATCTCCTAGGGACTTGGAAGATTGATTAATGCTCCAAATAACCGGTCTTAACCAATAGTGAGCCAAAAAGGTGGGATGAGTGTGGGTGTGGTGGCTAAGGCTGCCATCCTGAAGTGAAACAAAGGGGAAGAAATGTATATGGAGTATGGCAGAAATACAACAGGGTGATGCTGAATCTTTCCATTAGGTTGAAGTCCCTAGGGAGGAAAAACAAGGGACAATTTCCCTCCTTCCCTTTCTCCAGTGTCTGCATGTCACACCAGTAACACAGCCATGGAGTCTTTATTAGCATACTGATTAAAGCCACGGGCAATCCAGGCTCCAGGGGAATGTCTCTGATGTGATACCAGGATGCCTATCTCAGATGCTGTGTTAGAGCAGAAAGTGTTGCTGTGGTGGGAGTTCCTCCCATTTGAAGTCGTTTGCCTGTATCCATCCTCTCCCTTGGCACTGTCACTCATCACTTGTGCCGACAGGCATCCGAGACCTTGGTGCTCAAAGGAAGCTGGAAGGAAAGCATGATGCAAAGCAAGGAGCCTGCACCTTGGTGAGAAAGAACAGACAACGTTGCTTCCTCATAAATGCAGGATGCGTGGGATGGGTTTCCAGGGTGTGGGTGGGCACAGCTGCCCTGGCAGCCTTCAGTTGTTCATGCCTGTGGTGCCACACTTTTGTCGTGCCACTTGTGCCCAGCACTGCTCACTAGGTTTTGTTAAGAGATTGTTAGGAGATTTGCTGCTTGTCAGCAGAATTCCTTCACCGGGCGGCATGCCCCCTTTCAGAGGGGAAGTGAAGGAGGGGAGGACCACGATGGCAGAGCTGCTGGGATAAGTGGGGTGTGTGACTGGGGGCTGCCCTTCTACTCCAGTCTGTAGCCAGCAGGGCTTCAGGGAATGCCAAGCACAAGTGTCACAGGAGAGCACTGCATGTCCTCCCCTGCCGACAGATCAAGCCTCAGCTTGAGTACATGTACAAGTGTCACAGGAGGGCACTGCATGTCCTCCCCTGCCAACAGATCAAGCCTCAGCTTGAGTACATGATGCAGTGGAGGCTCTATCCTGATCCTGCAGGGAGAGAGGAATTGGAAACCCCTGTGTCTCTCCTTGCAGGGACAACTGCTAATGACTCTACTGTGTCATCCTCAACAAGGATTGTGGCTTGTCCCAGGTTGTGCAGTGTGTGGTGGACCTGGAGTCAGATGTCCTGGCTCTGGGACCAGAGCTTGCTCCCTGCTGATCCCTACCAGTCTGGTGCTCTTTCTTCTCCAGTTGTACCTGCATTTGATCCCCTAGCTATTTGGCTCTGGGTTACATCTCACTGAGATGTCTGGCATGCGACAGCATAAGACTCCTGTTTAATTCACTCTTCTTGGAAATGGCTTTCTCTGGAACTGTCAACCGCCCTGAGGTGCAAGTGGTATGATTTCACCACTGAGTTTGAGTCTTCTATGTCTGGTGCCTTAGACCATGGTGAATTAAAAACAGAGAATTTTTTAAAGGTCAAAGTGTGACAAAGCAGCTTCTTCCTGAGGGACACAGCGGGAGGATCCAGGACTAGAGTAGAGGCTGAAAGAAGACAGAAGATTTGGTAGGAGAGTATCTAAATGCCTTTGTCTTAAAGGCAGGTGGGACCCAGGCAAGATCAGCCATGCCTGCAGTTGTGAGAGGTGTCTCTAGTCCACCCTAAATCAGGTGAGTTTCTTTTATGTGTTAATGACCCACCTTCCTTCATCCTTCTTCATTTCTCTCTCTCAGTGACCAAGCTGCAGGTGAGCAAGTCGAAGCGGAGTATCACTCTGGTGGAGAACCGGCCCATCCTCCTCAACTGCTCAGTGAAATCCCAGACCAGCCCTGACTCGCACTTTGCCGTGCTGTGGTACGTCCACAAGCCTTCGGATGCTGATGGCAAGCTCATCCTGAAAACCACCCACAGCTCGGCCTTTGAGTACGGCACCTATGCGGAGGAGGAGGGGCTGCGGGGCCGGCTGCAGTTTGAGCGCTCAGCTTCGGGAGGGCTCTTCAGTCTGACGGTGCAGCGGGCAGAGGTCCGAGACAGCGGCAGCTACTACTGCCACGTGGAGGAGTGGCTGCTCAGCCCCAACCACGCCTGGTACAAGCTGGCAGAGGAGGTGTCAGGACGGACAGAGGTCACCGTCAAGCAGCCAGGTATCACATGCTGTGCCAGTGGGGTCCTCCTCTTGTGCATGGCTTGTGAGCTTGCCAAGCTTTTCTGGTGCAACAAGGATCCTCTGCTCTTCTTTCCACTACGGCCTTGTCACGCCCTTCTTTACATCCTCATGCCTGCACATCCTGCACGCAAAGGGAATTTTTCCCCCTTTGATGTGACCCTTGTCCCTTTAGGCTGGGCCGGAGTGCATTTCAATGTCCCCATGTGAAGGCTGTCCATCCCCCACAGTCTAGAGGGCCACTGTATCCAGCCAGATTTCTTTGATGCTCAAGAGCATCATATAGCAAGAGTGTCGACTAGCGACCTACTGAGAGAACCTAAGTGTGCCTGCCTAGGAAAGCATTTTTATGTCTTGCACGCAGTTTAATGTTACTCTGTGCCTTGTCTCATTTCCCTCTGCGCTGTGCACCTGAGGTATGAATAACAAGTTTAATGAGGTGGGGAGCTGGCTGCCAGGAAAGGAGAAATCTGTGCTGCTAGTGGTTTATTTGGCAGTGGACATCACTGATAAAGGGGCTGATGGAGGAACTAAATATGGCCCTCACAACCTGGGGACACAGCCCTGCCTTGTGCAAGGTGGGGATGCAAGCACTGTTTGAGAGCAGCCTGGACTCGCCTGCTGCTGAGGCAGGGCATTGATACTTTGTGAGGAATCCTGCCTTGTCCTTGTTTCCTATCTTCCAGCTCTGGAAGATAAAATCCCTCAGGCAGGAGGGATGCGCCTGTATATCAGGGCTGGACTAGGCTGCCTAGTGCGTTTTCTCTGACTGGATTTAGCTGGCTAGACAGAAGCTGTGTGGACGAAGGGACGAGAGGGATATTGAGTGTGGTCCCCAGCACAGCTTTGCCTGGTCATGTAGGAAGCAGGACAGGCCACAGCATGCTGCTTGCCACCAGTGCCAGCTCCTCATTTCTGCCTGCAAAGCCCCAAGATAGCTATGGGGCAGTCAGGGAGGGGGACCAGAGCTCCCTCCTCCTCTGTATCGCCTGCCTCTGTCTGGGAAGTACAGTGCTTGTTGTTTGCTGCAGTGGCTATACCAGGGAAGTCCAGACTGTGCCCCTGGAAAGAAGTCATGAAGGAGTCAGGAGAGTACGACACGTCATTTCACATAAAAGAGCTGATTCTCATCACCCGCTCCGTGTATCAATGAAATTGTGGAGCAAAAACCAGGGACATTCCCAAGGCAGCAAACACTGTGTGTGACCTTGCCCTCAGGCCACTTCGTGTTTTGCAGTGGTGGTTCCCTATAATCAGCTGTCTGTTCTCGGCCTTGCATTTTTCCCTTTTTCCACAACAGGAAACGAAGCTTACTGGTTGGGGTGTAACCTGGGCCCTGCCCTAGGAGGAGAACAAGACAAAACTGAGGTGTGATTGCCCTATATAAAGTGTCTGTGCACTTAAGACCTCCCAGGTCCTACTAGGAGATTGTGGGTTTCCACTTCCTTGTGCTAAATGAGGCATTGTTGGTGGCTAGCCTGATATTTTCAGAAGACCCTAAAAACACAAGTCCTATTCTTTTTTCCTTCTCTTTTTTTTTCCTCTCCTTTCTCGATCATTTTTTCCCCTCTACTTTCTCATTTCTTTCATCACACCCCAGGAGTGTGGCCATGCAGGAAAGGCTTGTGAGGAGACAAAGGACCCTTGCAGCCCTCAGTCACCTTGCATTTCTAATGGCCTTCTCCCCACAGATAACCGCCTGCAGGTGAACCAGACCCACAAGAACATCACAGTGCTGGAGAATGAGTGGGTGATCCTGGAGTGCCTGGTGAGCAATCGGACCAGCCCCTCATCCCAGCTCTCGGTGGAGTGGTACGTCTGGCGGCCAGGCCACCCGGAGAAGGAGGCAGTGGCCTGGCTCAGCCGACAGAGCACCCTGCACTACGGGGACCTGGCGACACCGGGTGACCTGCGGAGCCGACTGCACCTGGAAAGCCCATCCCCAGGTCTCTACCTCCTCTCCATCCAAAATGCCACCGTGAGAGACAGCGGGGCCTACAACTGCCGCGTGGAGGAGTGGCTCCTCGACCCCAGCGACCGCTGGTACAAGCGGGCAGAGGACCTCTCTGGACTCATCACCCTCACTGTCAAGCAGCCAGGTGAGGAGGATCTTGTGCCATCAGATTTGAGCAGAGTTGTGCCCTCTTGGACCAAACACGAGTCACTATCTCTGTCAGCAAGAGTGGGTCCAGATGTAAGGCAGGACCACTGTGTGACAGGCCGTGCTGATGCTTGTTTACATGTCTTCTTGGGTGACCCTTGCAAGGGTATAGAGCAAGTCCTGCAAACACAGCTAGGTAGGATTGGGATTCTGTCACCACTGCATCTGCAAATTTTTTTTTCTTCAGCACTTTTGGCAGACTGAATAGGATCGGCCCCTGATTTTACTCACATTTTGATTGAGAGTAAGATGGAAGAAGCTACCTGTGCATCCCAGGCGTGTGCCCCAGGGGCAAGGTCCTTGCATGTAAAGAGAGCAACAGAGGCACACTGCTGACTCATACTGGGCTTGCTGTCAACCAGCACCCCGAGATCACTTTCTACAGGACTACTGTCCAGTCACTTCTCTCCCAGTTTTACTTGTGTGTGGCCTTACTCTGTCCTAGGTGCAAAATCCAGGCATTTCAGCTTGTTAAATTTCATTCCATTAATCCAAGTCCAATGTTCCAATCTGTTTAGATCACTCTGTAAGGCCTCTTGTGCCTTAAGAGAGTCAACAGCACCTCCCAGTTTGGTATCATCAGAAAACTTGCTAATGGTGCGTTCAATTCCTGCATCCAGATCTTTGATAAATAAATTGAACAGCACTGACCCTAAAATTGAACCCCGAGGAACACCACTGGTGAGTTGTAGCCCAGACAGTTGTAGCCCCATTCACTACACCCCTTTGAGCCCTGCCCTTCAGCCAGTTCTTCACCCAGTACACCATGAATCCACTCATCCCGTAGTTGAACAGGTGGAAGGATGCTGTGAGGGACAGTATGAAGAGCCTTACTAAAATTCTGAAAAACTGCATCCACTGCCTTCCTTACATCTGCTGGGCAGGTGGCCTTATCATAGAAATATATTAAATTAGTTAAAGAGGAGTTTCCCTTTGTGAATACATGTTGGCTGTGCCTGGTGATTGTTCTTTAAATCACAGAATGGGTGAGGTTGGAAGGGACCACAGTGGGTCATCTGGTCCAATCTCCCTGCTAAAGCAGGGTCATCCTAGAGCACATGGCACAGGATTACATCCAATTCTTGAATATCTCCAGTGAGAGAGACTCCACAACCTCTCTGGTCAATCTGTTCTAGTGCACAGACACCCGCACAGTAAAGATATTTTTCCTCATATTCTGGTGGAACTTCCTGTGTGTCAGTTTCTGCCCATATGCCTTTCAATAGTACCCAGCATAATCTCCATAATTTTTCCAGGTATTGAAGTTTAACTAACAGATCTGTAGTTTTCTGGGTCTTCCCTCATGCCCTTCATGTAAATTGGAATAATGTTGGCCAGCTTCCAGTCATCAGGGACCTCCCCAGACTCCCAAGGCCTTTGGATGATGTTCAGTAGGGGTCCTGCTGTAACATCTGCTTGCTGCATCAGTACTCAGGGATAAATTCCATCCCTCACAGTTTCAGCATCTGCAGGCAGAAAGTTACTGTTCCAGCCCTCATGGTCCTCTGAATCAGAAGATTGGGCAGCCCAAGGTTTATCAGTATTATTAAAGACTGAGGCAAAAAAACATTGAATGCCTCCAGGTCTTCTTCATCCTTATTAGTCAGGTGACTATCTTCAACAAGTATCGGTCCAGTATTTTCTTTAGACAACTTCTTGCTGTTAACATCCTTAAAAAAGCCCTTCCTGTTACCTGATGCGATACTGGCCAGTTTCAACTCGAACTGAGCTTTGATCTTTTGTGTCTTCTCCATGCATATATGAACCTGTAATCTGTAATCTTCCTGCGAAGCCTGACCTTGCTTCCAGAGATAATACAGTGTCTTTCTTCTCTTGAGCTCCGCAGGGAGTTGGTGGTCTAGCCAAGCTGCTCTTCTGTCCCACTTGCTTTACTTAGGACATGGTGGAATTTCCTGCTCCTGTGCTTCTGTAAGGTGGTCCTTAAGACTCAAATTCATAAGCCCTCAAAAGCAGATTCCCAGAGTACTCTGCAAAGTTTTCTCTGTTTTAACAACAGATAAGCTGCAAGGACAATTTGTATTAGAAAATGCAGGTTCCTTAGTTTTTGAGGCATATGACTCAAGATTAAATGTCTGTATTAAAGGATGTGGGTCAAATAATAGTACAGTTCTAGTTTGCTGGGTAGTTTCCAGCCTGTAAAGTAGCCACTCTGCTATGGTGCTTCATTCCAGCTGGATGTCAGCGTTGTAACTGCAACAGAGCTGGCAAAAGGCCTTCATGGTCATTCCTGGCAGAGATTTGTACTGTGGAGGAGGAGCATTCTCAGGGGACAGCAGAGCTCTCATCTGCCAGGTCCTTGCTTGGGAAGTTTTGTTGGCCAAAGTGGCTTTAGAGGAGACACCCTCCCCAGGCAATCCCTGTGCCCTGCATGCCTGCGTGGTTGAAAGTGCTGCTCTCTGCCCGGTCTGAGAATTGCCAGCCCTGATGGAGGAGGGAACGAACAGCAGGGGAAATCCTCAAGGCTAGTTTTGAATGCAGAAGGATGTGGAGTAGGAAGAAGAGAGGGAGTTGGGGGTGTGCTAATTGAAGAGGATTTTTTTCTAAAAGTGCTTTGTTGTTGTTTGTTTTTCTTTCATAGCAGTCAGTACTTAACAAAATGACTAATCTTGCTTGTGACTCATGTTTCATTAGTGAGGATCTCCATGCTCATCTGTCAGGACTATAATCATGAGCAAAGGGGTGAAAAAAAACCTCTCAGCACCTTCAGGCAGCAGCTCTCTTTCTGCTTAACCTGCTGAGGTGGGGGAGGCTTTGTGTTGGATTTGACAAGCCATTTCTTTCCCTTTTTACCTCAGTAGTCCTTGAAATCTCAGGACTTACTTCATTCCTGTTTCTGCTTAGGAGTCTTCCCAGGAAAGCTGTGAACTGCAAATACTCATGTTGCCTATGGCCTGAAGTTCTCTGGCCTTAATGAAGCTTTTCCTTATGGGACCATTTAAAAAGTGTTGGGCAGATGCTGTAACAAGAAGCCTACCTGAGCACATCAGCCCTGTGGCTGATGAGAGCTGGGGGTAGCAGGGATGCTCAGGCTCTGCACAAAGGAGGGCTTGCCCAGTCATCATTGCTGGAGAAGAAAGCACCTCTCTCCTTGTTGAGCTATCAGCTTGCCCTTCCTGCTCAGCTCCTGCATTGGAAAGGGAATTTTAATCTTTAAATGAAATCTTATATCCAGACTGATTGTGATCCCTGGAGCTTGTGTTCCCTGGCAAGATGGCTAAACTAAATGTTAATTGCTCTTGAAGTCAGCCTTTAGTCAGCTCATCGTGGGTTCTGGCCACTGTATCTCAGCTAGGCAAAAACATCTCTTTAGCCTTGGCAGCAAGCACTAGAGATAAAAAAAGGAAGCCGTTTGGAGCATCCTTGCTGCATCATGTTGACACCATGGAGGAACCTCTTACCTAAATAACTTTCCAAACTGCTGGAAAAAATCCTCTCTTCTTCTGTCATACTGATTTTCAAGTCCTTTGAGTGCTCTCAAAGGCAAAAAATAAACGGGGAGTGCAATGCTTGTTGCAGCATTAGCTGGGGAGTAGTAGTACGTTGCTCCTCAGCACACGCACGAAGCCTTGGTGTTTCCTGACACATTCTTGTAGCATGTCTGGATGAGCTGCAGCAGCTTTCTCCTCTCACTCACATGCCACTCAGTTGGTGTGGGGGTCTGCACGGGCAGGGTGGTAGCACAGTGCTTGCAGCCAGCTCCTGTGTGACCCTGCACCAGGCAGTGTGCAGTGAGGTGAGGCTGCTGTGCCCGCAGGGTTGACCACAGAGGTACCTGTGAGTCTTGGCAGGCTGCATCAAGCCTTGGGGTTTTGCTTGGATCATGGCCAGCCCCAGAGTCGTGACAGTCAGTTTGCCCTGAGGCAGGATGGTTTTGATGGTAGCATTTTGCTCAGTGCTCACCTCTCCCCTTTTGTCATCTCAGATCCCACCTTGCAGGTGGACACAGCCACTGCCAACCTCACGGTGCAGGAGAAGGAGTCCTTCCCACTAGACTGCATCATCCTGTCCCGCTCCAGCCCAGAGTCCCACTTTGCAGTGACATGGTACAACCTGCGGGCAAAAGAGGCAGGCAACCCTGCAGAGGAGGAGGAGGAGGAGGCGGAGAGGGCAGTGGTGCTGAGCGTGGGCCCCGATGCCATCTTCAGCCCCGAGGCTGATGGCTGGGCGGGCCGACTGCGCTTCCAGAGGCTCTCGGCAGTGCTTTTCCGGCTGACAGTGCTGCAGGCTGGCGGTGCTGACACAGGCAACTACTCGTGCCGTGTGGAGGAGTGGCTGGCAGACCCCAACGGTGTGTGGTACCGGCTGGCAGAGGAGGAGTCGGCTATGGTCGCCGTTCACGTGCAGGATGCAGGTGAGAAGAGGTGACAGCTGTCTTGGGGTCATGGTCCTGGTATCCCCTGTGTCTTTGGTTCAACCAAGATAAAAACGCCAAGGTCTGAATAGGACCAGGTCTCACCTGCACCAGGGCAAGGCTGTGGTGCCGATACTTTTCCAAGCAGCTCGATGGCTCATAGACTGGTTCTTGCTTGGGCTTGAGTATTCACACTGCACATAGCTCTGTGATGGGGCTTCCCACCCCACAGCACTTACTGCCTGGTGTGTCTGGAGTCAGTGGGGGCACTTTCCCCCTCACTGGGGCTTAAGCCTTCCCTCTGGGAAACAACCAGGAAGTTGGCTTAGCTCTGCACAAGGGTCTCCTCACATTAACTCCCAAAGCCATTGGCTGGGTTAGAGGGGCCCCAGACATAACTGGGGTCATGAGGGCTTTGTGGACTCTTAAGGGAGATATACCCTGGGGTGCTTCTGCCTATGTGTACCACCCCAAGAGAATCAATGCTTTGCAAGGCTACCCACTTTGTAAGATACCATAAAATCTCCACCAGGGAGGACTCTGTCAGTCATGGAACTCTTGGGGGGATGAAGCTGAAGCATGCCCTGTGATAGTCTTCTTCTACTGCTCTGTTTTCTAACATGGGTATTTTTCTAGTAGCCCCACCTCAATGCATTTACATAGATTAATGACCGTTTTCATGTTTCTGAAGTCTGTATGCCCTGCATTACAGAGAAGCCATGAAATGTGATTGTCCTGTCACACCCATCTCTTTCCAGGCTCCACCCTGCAGTCTGTCATCTGCTCCAATGATGCCCTCTTCTACTTCGTGTTCTTCTACCCCTTCCCCATCTTTGGCATCTTGATCATCACCATCCTCCTGGTGCGGTTCAAGGGTCGAAACTCCAGCAAGAACTCAGAGGGCAAGAACGGGGTCCCCTTGCTGTGGATTAAAGAGCCTCACCTCAACTACTCTCCCACTTGTCTCGAGCCACCAGTCCTCAGCATCCACCCAGGAACCATAGACTAAAGAGGCAGAGGCACCTAGGGGGACGCACAGAGAGAGAGAAGCAAAGACACACCAGGAACCCAAAGGAACAGAGTGGGTTTTGTTCTCGTTTCATTTGTTTCAGTGTCTGTGCTCCGGCGCAGCGGCTGGGCTCTGTGGAGCACCCAGCCAGCAGGAGCAGGAAGGTCCAAGGCTTCTTCCAGCACCTGTGGGAATGCACCCCCTCACCCCAACAGACAGAGGCACTTGCTGTACATAGCGGATGTTCCTCTCAGATTCATTTTACTCCCATCAGTTGCTGTCTTTTGGGCTGTTACTTTTTTATTGTTTATTTTTTGGTCACTCAAAGAACTGTAGGCTTCTCCTGCCCTCCACACAATGTGGAGTTCCCAGGGGGTATTTGGTCCTGGGACGATCTCTTTGGAAGGAAATGTGTATGTTTTCCAAAACAGACTGTTTTTCCTTCTCAGACTCGGCACCGTGGTGAAGAAGGTCTTTTCCCAAGGTGCACTGAGATAGCTCCTTCCTCTTCCAAAACAGACAAAGCCAGGTCCACCCCCGAAAGGATTAACTGGGCTATCTGTTGGGTGGTCCATTTCAAAGACTGGCTGTAGCCTCATCCTCTTCTTGCCTCCATCATACTGTTCTCTCAGGAGGGAGCAATTCACCTTTTCGAAGCGTTCCCAGGTCTTGGAGAGACTGAATAATCAGGGCGCTTGCTATCAGGGCAAAAGCAGTTTAGTTTGTCTCTAAGAACTGAAGGGGGGAAAGGAAGGAGGACGCCTGAAAGCAGTGACTGTGTTGGTAGCAAAGAGGGTCCTCATACGGTCCAGCTTACCAGAGTCATGCTCCTCCCTGGTGTCCGTGCTGCCACCTCTGGCGAGGCAGATCCTCTCTGTGCCCCAGTTGCCTGGGGATGGGAGGATGGATCCAGTCTCTGAAGGCTTCAACATGACCAAAGTAATGACTCTAGGAAGGAGAAAAGGGGAAGCTCCACAGGTTGGGTTCACAGTCCCTGGATGGTTCAGCCAAGGAGCCCAGTAGCAAACATGCCACACAGCAGGGACATGCAGTTAACCACCACACGTCACAAGTTTTCCTGTGGCTTGCACTGCTTCCCGGTGCAGGCCTGGACAAGGCAAGGAGTCTGCAGCACATCAGCACCCTGGGGGCTTCCCTGTCCCCTTGGCCAAGAGAAGTCTTCCCCTCTGTGGTGTATATATGCATCTGCCATTTTTCATTTCTGGGACTTGAGGAGGAAAAACCATTTCTCCATAAGCTCCCCCTCTTGGCAAAGTCACCTGCTCTTGCAAGAGTCACTGTGGCAGGAAATGCTGTTCTTTCTGTGAAAGATATGGCTCTCATGAACCAGACCAGGGCTCTCCCATGTGGGGCACCTGAACTCCTGTACCCACTAAGGCCAAGAACCCCTGCCCAGTCCTGTGGAGGAAACCGCCTCCTCCCCCATACGCCCTAAGCATTATGTCTGGTGGAAGAAAATGTTTGCCAAAAATGGCCTTTTGTTGTCTTCCTTGATGTCTTCCTGGCAAATCCGGCCATTTATTTTTTGCAGCATGGCTGAAGCCAACTGGGGCAGATGGGCACAACCGCAAGACTCCCCCTGCCTCGTGTGTGAGAGGTGCCATACCCACAGCCATTGTCCTCTTCTGGAGGGTTGGACTGCTCTTTGTGAACAGAAGGGGACCTCAGCAGATGCTCTGTAGCACTAGTCAGTTAAACCCTGATGCCTTGATGTTTCAGAGGTGGTAAAGCTTCAGGCAGGAGATCTGCACCGCGCATCCCCTCTCTGGCCTGGGAGAGGACCCATGTGGCTGCAGATCATCCTGTCCTAAGGCGTTTGAAGTTGGCCACCTCTGTGCCTCCACTGGCACAGCATTGGTTTCTTCTTCTGCTGGGAATCCCAACTTTTACTCGTCCCTCTGTGAAGTCTGCCTCCTGGAGATGTAACTGCTTGCTGGCCCCAACATACACATAGTATCACACTCCTATATATGTATGTACCGCACACCCGCACACTTGTCTTCCCTTTCTGGCTAAGACGTCTGCATAGGAGGAGTGGGATGAGCAGTGAATGAAAATGAAGAACCAAGGCCCAGACAGCAGCAGCTGCAGCCAGTGGGTATTGTTTCATAAACACACTATCTCCTGTACATACTGCTCCCAGGCAGGAACCATGACTCATTCCAGTTTTCAGGAAGAGAGAAAATGAAGTCAACAGGAACCATTCTTTCCTGGGAGAGCTCTGCTCTGCATCTGAGCCACGCTCCTCATTGCCAACCTGTTTGCCCCAGAGCAGGGCTCTCCTGGAGGGCTGTCCCATTGTCCCGTCCCCTGGATGGAACGGGTCCCTACCCAGGCCTGCAGTTCCTGCATGGAGCCCAGGCTTTCCTGGGAAGTGGCTCCCATGGTGGTTCCTGAATGTACCTTGCTGGTGACATTTCTCCATTGCTCTGGCAGTGTGTTGCCCAGTCTCAAACTTCTGTTTTTATAAGGCAGACTCTTCCTGCAACAAGTTTAACACGAAGCTTTTCAAACTACTCTCTCTGCTGTAACTTTCTGTAATGAGCCCCAGAAGAAAGAGAGATACCCTATCCATGCATGATGTGGAAAAATGTTTGGGATTTTTTTTTTAAAAAAAAAAAAAGCAAAACAAGAAAAACTTTGTACTATGTTGCACTAAAACATGTTTTATACAACACACCCAAGAGCTGTAGTAAACTGTGTTGAAATTGTGAATCCTATTGCTGCTGGTTTTTGTCAGATTTGGGCTTTCATTATGCCTTTATGTGTACTCCCTGCATAAAGGCATGGTGAGACCCCACTCTTGGGCAGCCTCTCCCACTGCCCCTATTCCTTGATGAATTAAGTCCCCTCCTGCCCCGGTAGCTCATCTCTCTTGCAGGCTGGAGCTTGCAGAAATCTTGCACCCTCTGGCTCTTCATACTTCTCCCTTCCATCCCTTAATTCATGCCATAATAGAATATAACATTTAACATAGGCCTGTCAGGTCTTTTTATTGAACGGGATACATCATTTTTGAAGTTGCTCTGCAAAAAAGTAAATACTTTGCTGTGTCACAGTCTGGATTCAAAGAAAAAACTTTTTTTTTTAATAGCATTATCTATAGCAAATGTTAAACAAATAGCCTTTAGTAAGCTTGATGTAAGCAGAAGAATATCATCCATTCAAGCTGATGTAAAACGCAACCTGTTCATTCTCATTACCCACTTTTACCTTGAGTAAGAATTTGGTCAGGAGTCAAATTGCCACATTCACTGAAACAGGGAAGTAGCACGATGCACTTACCTATATTGCAGAAGTGCTGTGGAATTGTACGAAATGTGTTGCTGCCACAGCAGTAAGGTTGGGTTTGGGTTTTTTCCCACATTCAGTTAAAACAAATATTCTCTGCTGAAATAATTATGTGAGAAAACTCTTCTGTCCCCAGACATGAGCTGTTTGTCCCCTCTGCTCTCCCTAGTAGGGTGCCTTGGGCTGCATTTGCTTGTCTCTGTGCTAAAGAGCGGAGGTCTACAGGCATTCAATGCTGCATGGCAAGCGGTGTCCCATGGCACTCCCCGTGACAGTACCAGGCAGCAAGTTTGGGCCAGCCCTCACAGGTTTGCCAGGAGGCATCTCTGCCAGCCATGTGCACTCCCTGCAGTCAGGCATGCACCCCTGACCCCCTGGCATGCTCCTATGGGCAGGACCCTGGTTTGGGGCAGCCTGAGCAGGTTTTGCTGCCTGTCCTGTCCAACTGGCAGTGCTGTGGCAGGTGCTCCTGTGCCCCTTGACCAGACAGTGTGCAGCCACCGTGCAGCAAGAGGAGCAGTGTCTCAGGGCTTGGCTGCTCCCATCAAACCACCTTGTGGCTGCTTACCCCCACCCACCAGCCCCACACTAGCGCCAGCTTGGCCTCCCCACTGAAACCGGCACACACAGACACACACACAGAAAAGGCAAGCCTGGCTCTGGCTAACACTTATGCGCCTTATTCTAGCGGGTGTGTAAAGAGAGCTTGCAAAACCTCAAGTGAGCAAGGGGCAGCAGGGGGTTAAGTGCATCCCAGGTGTGCCCTGCTGCCCCCTGTATAGGTGATGTGGTACAAAGCCTTGGCTACCTTCTCCAGGCGGTCCCTGTACTCCAGATTAGCATAGAGGGAGGGGGGAACCCCCTGGAAGCCGTGCATGGCCCCCCACCAGGCAGCCGCAATGGCAGCAGTGGAGTCGCTGTCCCCGCCGTGGAAGAATGCTCGGTGAGCCAGCTCTGTCCAGGAGTGTCCTGCACCCAGCAGCGCGTCGTACGCGATCATGGGGGCGTCGTGCCCACTGCTGCCCCCCCAGCCACTGTAGCTGAGGGAGGTGTAGAATGAGTCTCGCTCCTCCACACCATACTTGGCAGGGAAGGTGGGTGACGAGACCCCGTCCAATATGCCTCTCTTCGCCAGGTATTTCTCCCATTGCTCTTCAAAGTAATTCCTGCAAAACAGGAGACATGATGGAGCAGCTGTACAAGTTGTCCCACAGCAGAAGTATATACCTGAGTTCCATGCAGAAAAGCTGAATAGGTGCCACATCAAGAGCCCAGAGCGCTGGCTCAGCGAAATGGTAGGCACCCCCCATTTGTTGAACTAGGGACGTGATTTACAGTAAGAGGCACAAGGGCATGTTTCAGTGAGTTAGATTTCCCCTCCCTCCAGCCACATGGGAGAAGAAAGCCCAGCACCTGTTGCCATTGCACTGCACAGGATTCAAAGGCTCAGAGTGAGAACTGAGTCATCCTCCCAAATTCAGAGTACCTCTACCTCTGTCTGTGTGTGCCTCTGCACACAGAGCCACACGGAATCTGCAGCCAGATTTGATTATAACTTTCAAAGTGAGCTCAGCCCTAAGCCTGGTGCTGTTCCCCATCTTTCATCAGATCACGGTTGCTTGAGATGACATCTACCTAGCTCATACTGGATCGAAAAAAGTCACAACTACATGGCCCAAACACAATCT